CCTGAAGCACAATTTTCCGCATAAATCCTCGTAATTATTCTAACTCGATGTTCATCATCTCCAGAAACAAAAGAACAGAGGGGGTGTTAGGCAAGATGAAGAACTGGAACAGAAAGTCACGTACATTAGTCGCTGTACCACGTAAATGGAGGTAACAATAAAGCATGGTACTTGGCTATAGTTCGAAAATATACATTATTATCAATCCTACAGGTGTATTTGGGATAAGAGAGAATACGGGCGCTTTTGTTAATGTTTCTGGCTAACTTGGTATCATCTCTGCAAAATTTCACCTTCTCGATCTTATCTGGTTCACGAAATCGTTTCTCGGCAAAGAAACTTGCATATTTTTTTGGGAGGCCCGTAGGCGAGATCTATGTGCGTATGATCAAGAAGTTTAAAACGGAAGGGTGGTTTGATGACCATACTGTTTTTTCGACACTGTTTAATATTTCTGTTACTTAAAAATAGCGCTTTTCAGCGTTTTAGTAAGCGATCCCTTCCATAGATTCCTTGTACCCAATTTGCGCGAAATTTTACTTCTATCCCCAGATACTCATATGCCACGTTGGTGATCTTATAAGTTTTACGTGATTACAGCGCCTGTTCTCTAATCTACCGGACTTTTCCATATTATTTAGGCAAATTTTTGTGTGCAGAAAAGCAAAGTTCATGCTCTCGTTCCTTGCAAAATATGCTACTTTTGTTATACAGTATCACTAATCATACCCGAATAAAAAGTCAAAATCATACCTACAAAACAACAAAAAAAAATGGTGTTTTTCGTGGCAACTAAAATAAATCATGCGATCCACAAAAAAGTGCCTATCCCAGGAAACAATGAACAGGTCAAGAATACAGGGCTGGCGACTCACTTCTAAGACGTGAGCCTTAGCAACCAGCGAGCTAATGTCCACTACATAGTCATTACAGAGTACAGTACCAGGACTGACCACTCTATCGATGTCGGACATCCTACTCCTGACCAAATACCAAGTATCCACTATCAGTGCCTAATTTATCAGCAACACAATCTGCGAAACCCGTGATGCTTTATCAGGGCGTATGTTGGCCGAGCGACATCACCAAACGCTATATTCTAACTTACAGGAAAACTTTAGAGCGGGAAAATTCAAAAGTCAGGAAGCACGGACGTCCAGCAACAAAAATTATCACTCGGAAAGCCTTTTTGAAGACTCCCAAAGGACAAAATGCAACGGCCACAGGCAGCAGACATCCATCTCCAGACAAAAGATCCCACAGGGTTAGACCTGGAACATGAGCACAACCCCAGATGAAGAGAAGGAAGAAGGAACAAATCCCATACATCTCTGTACCTAGAGCTACAAGAAAATTGCTCTAACCTCATTTTTGAGTACTCAACA